ATTATCAAGCTTATCTTGATTCCATTCTTAGAATTGATTACTTACCATTAAAACATTTCGAAGAACACCTTGTGGAAATTAGCATTAATTCACGTCATTACAAGTGTTTTTCGTGCCTTTGGGAACTTTATAAATATCATAATAAATATGTACAGTATCTTGAGCATCTTCAAGTATTTGTTCCATTAAAGTTTGCCACAATTGCAGGTAAATTTGTAATATGACAGCACTTAAAGTACAGGTCCACTTGATTGGACTGCCAACTCCCATTCCGCAGAGACTGCGCCCTGCGGCGGGACAGGGCAAAAATGAAATCTAAACATTTAGCTGCCTCCGTATACCCCCTGTCCCCCTCCACCAGGTTTTCCACCAGGGTTTTCCAGGTAATTACTTAATGTAAATGAAAGCCCCGAGACACGGGGCCCAATGCTCTCCGACTACAAATTGCATTCATTTGGCCAACTGACAGAGTTGTCTTTTCCATTTTACGGGGGCGGGACAGTGAGGGGATGGTGGGGGAAAATCCAAGGGGGATCCAAGTTTGTTGACATACTTTAGTCTCGGCAATGAATGGCAATAATCGTAGGTTAAACCCGGCCCCATTCCCCACGATTTGCCAAGCGGCAGAGCACTTAGAACGTTGAGTAATGATGCGGCCACAAAAATCACGCACTCCCTATATTGCAAAAACAAAGGATCCAAGGATCCAAGGATCCGGGTTCCTTAAGTACACATATATATACATATAAACGGATGGACTCTGGATGGATTTGAAAGTGGTGTGTGTGCTGTGTGTGCTGTGTGTGTGTGACACGTCAGCGGCAGAGTCTCGTGCTCCATTTGCAGGCATTTATATGTGTCAGCGTGTCAGGGCCGTCATCAATCACATTTTGAGTTATTTGTCAGTCGAATAGGGGACACGGGGAGAAACAAAAGAGAGTCCTTTATGAAGAAAATATATGAAATAATAAAAATGTATTTAAACTTAAGTATTAAAGCTACGTGTAATTTGGTAATTTCCTATTTAATGAAGTAGAGGAAAAAGTCTTTAGTGGTAGAATGATAAAATATAGCACTCAATATCATATCAAAACAAGAAAGGATATTACCTGAAAAGCAGAAGTTTATATTTATGATCAAATAGACAATCGATCATAACAAAGCTTTAAATATTTTAATTGTTTGAAAGGATTTTTAACAATATTTTATATGACAATTTTATCTACAAATTAAAGATTAAAAATATATATATACAAATATATTTTATGTATAGTTCATTATACGTTTATGGTATTTGTTCTTTTTTATGGAAATATCAAAGCTTAAATATCTCATAACTTAGTCAAAAATGTATTAATTTCAATTTGGAAAGCGGTCGAATGTTAATTTTTAGCAGGTTAACAAAACTGCATACTCCATTTAAAATGTGAATTTTTGGCCGATTTTTGCAAATTTTCATGATGTAACCCCTTTCCTTTTTTACAAAAATGGCAAATTTCTTAAAAAAATTTTTTTCGGCCGGAGTTGGCTTAAAAGATTCGCCTGTTGATGCTGATCAAGAATATATATGATTTCAAGGGTCGGAAATGACTCCTTCACTTTCTTTTAAGCTTCTGACTGAAGGTCCATTACCATTTTTAACCGATATTAACAATATTTTTATATGCAATTTTTTTTGGATAATATAAATTTATTGCACATTTTTTGCGGACGTAAAATAGATAATTAGATAATGAACTACGTAGAAATTATGAACCTCCTTCAAATTTCTCTCAGTGCATTCTATAGACACTCGCATGAGTATTTTCGGGTCTGGGCCCCTGACATTTATGACTTGGCACTAAGGAGCAGCCCGCATCTGTTATCCTGGCCCCGCCCCCTCTTGAACCCTCCCGAACCCTCCTCTGCTGGCCAAAAACTCACGCTGCACTTCCCGTTTGGGCCACTTTTAAATGCAGCCAAGAGAGGACGTGTGCCGACCATTTGTCTTGCTTACCAACTGCCCCAGGAAAAAAGGACTTTGGGGAAAGCAGGGAAAAGCTGGGATAATTCGAGGGACCACAAAGCGATGCCCGCTTCCTTGTTCTCTGCTGGCATCGATTTCAGAAGCTCCCAAGACAATCCCAAGCCGTTAACCGAAGTTGTGGCTAGGAGAGGCCTTTGTTAACACGCTATTTTTAGCCGAAAGAGTAAATTAAAAAATTATGCAAAACGCCTTTCGCCTGCTCGATGTTTTTGTTTACGCCTCCCCGCTTATGCTTTTGTTTTGCGAACGGGAACAGAGAAGACAAACACGAGCACAACTAAATAAATAAACAAAGAATTGTGTAAAAAAGTTTTTAAATATATGCAGATGCACGCACGCCTAAAAAAAAGAAAAGAAAAAAATGGGGGCAAGGGACACTCTTTGCATATGAAAATGAGTTTTGTTTACTTTCGTAAAACAATTTCTGACGTTGATTATTAATATTATTTCTCTCATTTAGCATTTTTCATGCGGCCAATAAATCCAATCCAATTAAGGCGAACAACTATCAATGCCTTTTGGATGGCTGTCAAAATAATAAAACAAGCTCTTCGATTTGATTACATTTCAATTCGATTCTGGGGAAAAATCATTGTCATTTGCAAATTGTATTTATGTTTGCTTTTCCGCTATTTACACAATCATTTTTCAGTTGATTTTTATGCGGGAATTGCATGGTGTCATTTGGGTTATCAAAAATCCTCATAATTAGCCTAATGATCTTGGCCTGCAATTAAATTCGGGCGACAAGTTGTTAGCCAGCTTTTCATCAGCAGCCAAAAAAGAGCTCATTACGGGGAAAACTAAGGCATTTCCCGGGACCAGCTTCACTCTCAGCTTCGTGCTCATCTAATTTCATTTCCGTGGCGCAATCAGCGGACGTAGTTTTCCAGCATCCTGCAGTTTGTTTGTGCTAGGAAATTAAATTTTGAGCACTATCCGGGATCCAGAGAGACCCAGAGGAGACCCGGCGAGTCCTGGCCATAATCGGCCTACCATTATTTTATTCATTTTCGGGACTACATCGCGCCGGCTTTGTAGTGCCTCAATTTCCGTTTGAACGGAGCTGTTCATAATTATGTGTGTGTGCACTCGAAAAACTAGGGAAACTCAGGGAAAATAAAGAAACTGCTACTAAGCTTATGTTAAATTATTAAAACATTAAAATCGTTGAGGATTTGTTCAGTGTAGGATGGTATCACTCTTCATCCTGTGGCCTCTCCTGTGTGTCCCTGTGCAAATTGTTACGAACCGGGGAACGGGGTTAACAGTGTGATCCATGTGTGTAAGGCCCTGCGACAGGACGACCTCGCCTGCCATCGAAAGTGGCAGTATTAAGCGGAGTTCACGGCTCAGTTTTCCGCTGGAAAATGGAAAATGGAAAATAAAGAGCCTTTTAATTGAGTGGCTGCCCGGGCAGCGCGAATCAATTATTCGCGACCAGCGACCAGTGACCAGAGCCAGGGAAAATGTCAGCTAACAGAAGGTATTTTTCCAACAGGATTAGCTTTCCTTTTTGGCCTTTTTGTTTTGCAAATTTAATTGATTAAATTATAGTTGAAAGTAAGAGTTACCATAAGAAATGTGTATTTAAAAGCAGCTATCATCCATATTGTTTAAGCGGAGGGAAACCCGACTCTGAGCCAGCCACTTGACTGGCTTTATCCTTGCTCCTCTTCTCCCAACCCTTCTCGAAAGTCGTCATAATATGTCAGCCAGATGGCTGGTCCCCCGGATCACCCCTGGACGCAGAGTTTTTCCTCGCTTTTCCACGACTTACGCTAAGTGAAACACGAGAAGTTGTGCTTTGTGCCCCTCCCAGAGAGGGGCTAAAGAGGTCGAAAAGGGGGGACCTGGTACCAGCCACCGCCCTTCTTATCCTGGCTTAAAGGACATGCCTTTGCAGCCGGTGTCAGTGCAGTGCTTTTCGCCCACAAAATGCACTGAAATATATAGTCAATGCAAGGGAATATATAGCTTAAAAAATATATATACCTTTGACATTTATAAGAGTTAAAAGTAAGCAAAGCTTTCAGACTCGGGAGATATTAGCAGAGGGTTATATCCAGTCTTCAATTTTTATTTAGTCCTTGTAGAGTCCTGTGATTTTTCCAAGTTTACTTTTACCGAAGCCGAGAGTTGTTCTGGGAGTTTACTTTGTTGCCACCGTCACCTGATGTTGCCTGCTGTTCTGCTGTGCAATTGTTGCTGCTGCTGATGCTGCTGCTGCTGCGAGTCCATAAACAAGAACACTGGGAATCCTTCGTCCTGGCAAACCAACCCGTCGGCTGTCAGCTGTCGGTTCTCCCAGGCGTTCTATTAGCATGGCGGAAAGTGCAAATATGAAAATTACACCAGCCACTTTGTGCCCGAATGCAAATTCTGTCGTGGCAAAAAAACATACACACACACTGGGACACGCAGGATAATGAAATTAGAAAACATTAGCACTGCTAACTGGACCTTTAACTGAATTACCGTGCCACATAAGGGGCTAAGCCCTCGGTGCGTGAAATTAAATAATGGCCAGAGGCAAATATCTAATTCCATTCAAGTGTTTACCAGTGACTGCGACCTGAGCTGGCCTCCAGTTTAAATAGCTTTCAAACTATAAAAAATAAAATGGAAATTCGTATGGGAAAATACATTTTCCAAGTCTATATGGGGAGAACAAATAGGGGGATGCAGGTGAAATCTGCTCTGGCAACCGCAATGCCCGGGCAAATATGTATTTTCTAAAGGGTTCGACACTTTTATTTGCATTTCCACAGGAAGCTCTTTTAAACTAGATTTGAAATATGCTTAATTTTTATGAAATCAACTTTATTTCTGAGGAAAGTATGGAGAGCAAAGGATATAGTAAATAGTTTGTGTTACAAAAAAAAAAAGTATACAAAAAATAAGATGCGTTCCTTGGGGTTTTTTGTTTTTTGGTAATTTTCTCAGGATATTTCCTTGGGTTTAGCGTTCGTCCTTAATCCTTGAGGCTCCTGCGGCAATGACGCACTCCGCCACCAACTGTGCCACCGGAGCAGCTCCACCGGCTGGCCTGCACCCACTGGTTGTGCGGACGCTCGCAGTTCCTCTGCTCCGCCTGGCAACGGGTCTGCAGGATGCAGCCGTTCTGCTGATTCCTCCAGCAGGTGGCCACCTTGTTGTCGTGGCAAGGTCGGCGGCAGCTGCGTATCCTCTTGCTGCCGGCGGCATTGAGGACACCCTTGCGGATGCGGGGCGCACACTGCCCAACACCGCTCGATCCCAGGATATTGCGGCACCGGGTCACACAGGTCTCGCGGATCGGCTCCAGGCCATTGTCCCGCCGGCGGCAGTTCTTCTCCCGGAGGCGGCAGGCGCGCAACTTGGTGCACGTATTGGTGGCCTTGTTCCGGATGCACACGCTCTTGCCGCCGGAGGACAGCGACTGGCAGCGGCCGGGACAGGGACGACGACGGTCGCCATCGGCATGGCTGGAGGCGATGGCCAGGATGGCGACAAGCAGGAGAATCAGGCTGAGCTTGGACATGTCTCTCGATTTTCTTCCGATGGTTAATTGATGCCATTTCGATCGGCAAGTTGTGTATTTATAGGTGCCTCTGGAGCGGTTGGCCCAGATTTTCTAGGGCAACACCTGTTTGTCAATGAATGGAAACGAATGAATGAGTGTGTTTTTATGATTTATCAGAGCAAAAGCTGTTTGGGTTCAGGTAGATATATGAGAGATATGAGATATGATGTGAGATATTATAATCAATAATTATATCTAAGAGAAGTATTCTGCCAGAGGTTGGTAAAATCACTCATACGCACTGTGTTCCTGATGTCTGATTTCCCAGTAAACCAATGACTCCGTTTTTGAATAAAATATATATATTTATATATATATATATTTGTTACTTTACGTTTCTGTTACTTAAATTGTGCAGAAGCAGCTGTTATACCTCACCAGTTGGAGGTCAATGCCTTCGAAATAAAACAAAAGGCGCTGTAAACGCGTGCCAGGCCCATAATTGATCTGCATTCGCTTCCAGGTAATTGTTTTAGCACTGCGATTGGTAGTATAAATAGTTAAGTTTTCGATCCAAAACAACATCAGAAGTTTACTCAACTTCCAACACCAAAGAACCACAAGAAATCCACAGAAAATGCGCAGCTGCCAATTGATGTTCGGTATGAAAATACTTAAATATCCTTTGGGGAATTCCTTTGGTGAACTCTTCAACAAAATGGTTTCCTCTTAGGCCTCTGCGCCCTTCTTATGGCCTTCGTCCTGGTGACGGCCACCACCCCGCCGCGTCCAACGACCACCAGGAGGTCGATAATAACCCTTGGGCCCAGGATCTGTCCCCTGCCGCCGGTCTGTGCCCGTAACAGTCCGCGGGTCTGCGGAAGAACCCCGGCTGGGGACTGCCAGCGCTTCGCCAACATCTGTGATCTGATCCTGGCCAACAGGCGCAAGCAGCCCGCCGGAGTTCGGCATACCCGCGACCTGGACTGCAAGGATGTGCGCGGCGTGGGGGCGGCCAACAGGCGTCCTTGCTACCAGCAGTGTCCTCGCCGCCCGGTGGTCTGCAAGCGATCGCCGCCCGCCCAGCACATTTGCGTGAGGAGCCGGGACAAGAAGCAGTGCAAGGTCCTTTCCAACAACTGCCAGCTGCGCAATCAGAACTGCCACAGCAGGCCGAGAAATAGTGAGTTTGTTAGCTTTTTAGGGGCATTCCCAAAGGTCCTTTTTGGCTTTCTTTTGCACCCTTTTTTTTGGGCTCCTTTCCCCCATTTTTACCCCACTTGAAACCCCTTCCTTCACAGACTGGCGACGAACGGATAAGCGTCGTTGTGGTGAGCGACAGTTGGGCGACAAGCCCGAGGAATGCAGGAAGCTGCCACATACTGGAACCCGCAGGACCACCACCCGCAGGACCACCACTGCCAGGTCCGCTTAAAAGTTTCAGCAAATCCCAAAATGCAGCTTGCTCTCTCTTCTTTTTTTTTGTAATAAATATATGTGCAGTAAAGTGAAATAAATTATAAAAAATAATTACAAGGAAAAGTGTTTCTTAGGCAAAATATATAGAATATAGAAAGTACTTTCCCATAAAAAGAAAGTGAGCTTCAAAAAGAATTAAAATCTGTATGTTTTAACAGCAGTATTTAATTAACTGATGCTTTGCTATTAATCAATCAATAATTAGTCAACATTTCGACACATTCAACAATTCTTAAGCGGTCAGGAATTTTAAGGATATCTTCAACTTGAGCTCAACTTTTGCCAGTCGAAGCTCCACTCTCTTGTCTCGATTCCGCGTTTCTATTTCATGCTAGATTTCAGGTATCATTAAGTGTTCAATGTCCTTTTCCGAGGCCTGCCAAAGGAAAATCCCCGCTAATGACCACTCTAATTTAGCAGTTTGTTTTTTACATGCATTGCCCAGACAACGGCAAGGACAACAGCGACAGCGACAGCAACAAAGTAATAACAACTCAAATTACAATTGCCGAGTTCATTATTATTTTGAATACACTTTTCCTCGAAGGCTGCCGAAGAGCCGTTCTAACTTTCCAGGGAGCACTAATTAATTGATAGATGGAGGCCCAAATTGACTCAAATTGCATATTCAAGTTGCCTGGCAGACACACAGCCTTGCTTATATCTTTATATGGTTTTAGTTTTCATTTCGAGCAGAAAGTTGATTGAGTTACACAAACATTGCGCATACGCAGCGTGGGACAGTGGGCTTGAAAGCATTGAATGTCATTAAAAATTGAAAAGAAAATTTAGTATTTAAATTATTTATTTTAGTTTAGTTAATTAGATAAATCTCAATTTTATTTGATTTTATTAGCGAATTGAATAAAGAAAATAATACGCATACGCATCGATGGTTTTCTGACCGTCTCTGAAGTGGATTGAAAAATATAACAAGAGATCTACTCCAAAATTAGTCATATTTTTCGTTCTGACATTTTGATTATACGAATTTAGTACAGAAAGTGCAATACCATTTTTCAATCGATATCACTTATATTATTATATGAAATTTTTCGACAAATCAAAATTTAAAAATTTCATAACTAAGCCAAAAACGCATTAATTTCAATTCGGAAAGCGGCAGTATGTTAATTTTTAGCAGGTTAACAAAACTGCATACTCCGTTTAAAATGTACATTTTTGTCCGATTTTTGCAAATTTTCATGATGTAACCCTTTCCTTTTTTCCGAAAAATGGGAAATTTCTGAAAAAAATTTTTTTCGGCCGGATAAAGCTAGAAAGAAAGGCCTGTAGATGCTGATCAAGAATATATATGATTTATAGGGTCGGAAATGACTCCTTTACTTTCTTTTAAGCTTCTGACTGAAGGGCCATTACCATTTTTTAACCGAAATTAACAATATTTTTATATGAAATTTTTCGACAAATCGAAAATTAAAAATTTCATAACTAAGCCAAAAACGCATTAATTTCAATTCGGAAAGCGGCAGTATGTTAATTTTTATCAGGTTAACAAAACTGCATACTCCGTTTAAAATGTAAATTTTGTCCGATTTTTGCAAATTTTCATGATGTAACCCCTTTCCTTTTTTTACAAAATGGGAAATTTCGAAAAAAAATTTTTTTCGGCCGGAGATGGCTTAAAAGATTCGCCTGTAGATGCTGATCAAGAATATATATGATTTATAGGGTCGGAAATGGCTCCTTCACTGTTAAAAATTAACAAATCTGCATACTACATTTAACTTTTTAGGAGATCCAATTTTTTTTAGATTTTGCGATGCAACCCCTTGAATTTTTTCAAAAAATTGAAAATGTCTGTTTCGCTACCTGAGGTGGCCAGAACGATTCTCCTGTTAATGCTGATCAAGAATATATATGATTTATAGGGTCGGAATAGCTCCTTCACTGTTAAAAATTATATTTTCCTCTGCAAGATTCTTAAAATTGCAATTTTTATTCGATAATTTTTTTTACACGATTTTTTTACATCATATTTTTGGACAACCAGTTTAAAATCAAGAATATATATGATTTATAGGGTCGGAAATGGCTCCTTCCTGTTAAAATTATATTTTCCTCGCAGATTCCTGAAATTGCAATTTTAATTCCATAATTTTTTTAACACGATTTTTTTACATCATATTTTTTGGGACAACCAAGGTTTAAAAATCGCATAACTTTGTCAAAAATGCACTAATTTCAATTCGGAAGCGTTTCTGTGTTAGTTGCTTCGCGCTTAACAAATCTGCATACTAAATTTAACTTTTAGGAGATCCAATTTTTTTTAGATTTTTGCGATGCAACCCCTTGAATTTTTTTCAAAAAATTGAAAATGTCTGTTTCGCTACCTGAGATGGCCAGAACGATTCTCCTGTTAATGCTGATCAGAATATATATGATTTATAGGGTCGGAAATGGCTCCTTCACTGTTAAAAATTATATTTTCCTCTGCAAGATTCCTGAAATTGCAATTTTTATTCCATAATTTTTTTAACACGATTTTTTACATCATATTTTTTGGGACAACCAAGGTTTAAAAATCGCATAACTTTGTCAAAAATGCACTAATTTCAATTCGGAAAGCGTTTCTGTGTTAGTTGCTTCGCGCTTAACAAATCTGCGTACTACATTTAACTTTTTAGGAGATCCAATTTTTTTTTAGATTTTTGCGATGCAACCCCTTGAATTTTTTTTCAAAAAATTGAAAATGTCTGTTTCGCTACCTGAGATGGCCAGAACGATTCTCCTGTTAATGCTAATCAAGAATATATATGATTTATAGGGTCGGAAATGGCTCCTTCACTGTTAAAATTATATTTTCCTCCGCAAGATTCCTGAAATTGCAATTTTATTCGATAATTTTTTTTAACACGATTTTTTTACATCATATTTTTTGGGACAACCAAGGTTTAAAATCGCATAACTTTGTCAAAAATGCACTAATTTCAATTCGGAAAGCGTTTCGGAAATGGCTCCTTCACTGTTAAAAATTATATTTTCCTCTGCAAGATTCCTGAAATTGCAATTTTAATTCCATAATTTTTTTTAACACGATTTTTTTACATCATATTTTTTGGACAACCAAGGTTTAAAAATCGCATAACTTTGTCAAAATGCACTTATTTCAATTCAGAAAGCGTTTCTGTGTTAGTTGCTTCGCGCTTAACAAATCTGCATACTACATTTAACTTTTTAGGAGATCCAATTTTTTTTTAGATTTTTGCGATGCAACCCCTTGAATTTTTTTCAAAAAATTGAAAATGTCTGTTTCGCTACCTGAGATGGCCAGAACGATTCTCCTGTTAATGCTGATCAAGAATATATATGATTTATAGGGTCGGAAATGGCTCCTTCACTGTTAAAAATTATATTTTCCTCTGCAAGATTCTTAAAATTGCAATTTTTATTCGATAATTTTTTTTAACACGATTTTTTTACATCATATTTTTTGGGACAACCAAGGTTTAAAAATCGCATAACTTTGTCAAAAATGCACTAATTTCAATTCAGAAAGCGTTTCTGTGTTGGTTGCTTCGCGCTTAACAAATCTGCATACTACATTAACTTTTAGGAGGTTAAATTTTTTTTTAGATTTTGCGATGCAACCCTTGAATTTTTTTCAAAAATTGAAAATGTCTGTTTCGCTACCTGAGGTAGCCAGAACGATTCTCCTGTTAATGCTGATCAAGAATATATATGATTTATAGGGTCGGAAATAGCTCCTTCACTGTTAAAATTATATTTTCCTCTGCAAGATTCTTAAAATTGCAATTTTTATTCGATAATTTTTTTTAACACGATTTTTTACATCATATTTTTTGGGACAACCAAGGTTTAAAAATCAAGAATATATATGATTTATAGGGTCGGAAATGGCTCCTTCACTGTTAAAAATTATATTTTCCTCCGCAAGATTCCTGAAATTGCAATTTTTATTCGATAATTTTTTAACACGATTTTTTTACATCATATTTTTTGGGACAACCAAGGTTTAAAAATCGCATAACTTTGTCAAAAATGCACTAATTTCAATTCGGAAAGCGTTTCTGTGTTAGTTGCTTCGCGCTTAACAAATCTGCATACTACATTTAACTTTTTAGGAGATCCAATTTTTTTTTAGATTTTTGCGATGCAACCCCTTGAATTTTTTCAAAAAATTGAAATGTCTGTTTCGCTACCTGAGATGGCCAGAACGATTCTCCTGTTAATGCTGATCAAGAATATATATGATTTATAGGGTCGGAAATGGCTCCTTCACTGTTAAAAATTATATTTTCCTCTGCAAGATTCCTGAAATTGCAATTTTTATTCGATAATTTTTTTTAACACGATTTTTTACATCATATTTTTGGGACAACCAAGGTTTAAAATCGCATAACTTTGTCAAAAATGCACTAATTTCAATTCGGAAAGCGTTTCTGTGTTAGTTGCTTCGCGCTTAACAAATCTGCATACTACATTTAACTTTTTAGGAGATCCAATTTTTTTTTAGATTTTTGCGATGCAACCCCTTGAATTTTTTTCAAAAAATTGAAAATGTCTGTTTCGCTACCTGAGATGGCCAGAACGATTCTCCTGTTAATGCTGATCAAGAATATATATGATTTATAGGGTCGGAAATGGCTCCTTCACTGTTAAAAATTATATTTTCCTCTGCAAGATTCCTGAAATTGCAATTTTATTCGATAATTTTTTTTAACACGATTTTTTTACATCATATTTTTTGGGACAACCAAGGTTTAAAAATCGCATAACTTTGTCAAAAATGCACTAATTTCAATTCGGAAAGCGTTTCTGTGTTAGTTGCTTCGCGCTTAACAAATCTGCGTACTACATTTAACTTTTTAGGAGATCCAATTTTTTTTTAGATTTTTGCGATGCAACCCTTGAATTTTTTTCAAAAATTGAAAATGTCTGTTTCGCTACCTGAGATGGCCAGAACGATTCTCC